CACTTTCAGTTTTCCCGGTCAGTAATATTGTATTTTCATGCGCCGGTTTTGGCTGCCTCCTTTTGGCTATCCATTTGGATGAAGCATTAGGAGAAAGACGGGGAAGTTGTAAGTAGAGTCGAAGGGAAAATGAAGAATCTCAGTGGACTAAGGTTATGTAGAAAAGGAGTAAATGAGCACCACTGTTTGTGAAAACCCAGCCATATAAATCAGTGCATCTACCGTACGGTTACCATGATCTCGGGGTCTGCATGCATGGAGCTGAACGCGACCTATATGACCGAGTTTCCTAGTTAGGGTTTTCATATCTTCATTCCAAATCTTGGTGTGACCGACCTTGACCTTTTCCATTCGCTGCCTGTCTCAGTAAACATCACCTCCCGTAGCAACCTATTTGGTGATATACGTAACACCTCCCATCGGAGTCTTTGGAGGTCAACCACGTTTTCCATTGGAAAACCGCGTTTAATTGAGACTTTGCGTTTAAATTCAGTATTGCCTCCGCATCGTAGAGTAGGACTAGCTCAACTGCTGCAGGTTATACTCCACCTTTCACAGACAGCCGGATGTCGCGACGGTGCCGCACGTCTCAATTTGGTAAAAGGCAATGGGTCTCTGTGTGCCTGCCGGCCTTTCATTCATAATGCGTCCACCAGATGACATATAGCTGCACAAATAAGGTTTGTCTACTTCCCATAGCACTTCACTAGCTAGAGTGCGGTTAGGAGGTGGACCAACCCAGACTTTTCGTAAGATTTTACGCTTTGAAGGTTCAAAACGTATACGGAATATGGCAACACTAGCATTCAAAAGATCAGAGAAGCTTGAAACTGACTTGTATCCGGACTTAGCAGAACAATTTCATCTGCATACTCCAGTCCAACAGTCTACCACCTGGAAGCAAATCGATGTCGCTATCCTCGCACTAGGATAGGGCTGCTCCAAGAATTATATCCGTGACAAAGTTAAATTGAAATGGATCAACAGGGAAACTCTTGCGAACACCACTTTTCGTGGAGAAATCGAGTAAAAAAGTGCTGTAAACTCGGACTCGGAAAAATGTTTTACCGATTTCGTTTACCTGCTGAGCTGAGATCGACGTTCAAACGCTAAGTGGTCCGCAAAATAAAAGGATTACAGGTGAGAGAAAAGAAGTGAACACTGAGCAATGATAACCGTCGATTAACGACGGTTTTGAATGAAGAGGGTCAAAATATGAATTTTATGTATTGTGGCCTATAGGCTAAAGGACACACTCTGTATATTGATCGCAACAGACCAACACTCGGCCCGCGTTCAGTCTAATTGTCAAGATATTCAAGATGTTAATTCCATCTCGGTGGGGAAATTCTTGAAAAATAAGAGTTTGGCAAGGAGAGCTGAAATAAAACTGACAGCTAAAAACTCTGACGCATTTTTGATTGTATAGCCGTCTTGGATCCTCCATCCGGTGACGGATTTGTCTATGCAGCGTATGAAACAATGAAATTACGTTTCCGCTACGATTGCATCGTAAATAAGGGTGAATTTGTTTGACTTCATGTAAAATTTTGATGGACTCTTCAGAGCTAGTCCATTGAAGCATCCATAGCATGATTCGATACTGTGTAGGTGGGCTAGATGCAACCAACCGCAACAAACGTGCTTTTAGCGTGTTTATAGAATATTCCGTAATAAGTAATATAGGACAGACTCGAAGAAAGATTACCGAATACGCATGCCTGATGAGGACCAAGAAACGGAAACCAGTTGTGTGCTTCCCGGAAAATGTTGTCTAATCATATATATATATATATATATATATATATATATACTAATTTCTATGAATGATATGTATAACACCAATCTTAACAGATATGACGCCAAAATAACTATGGGTTGAAGAGAAGAAAACAAAAGCGATCAGGTTGGGATATCGGATATTCTGAATACCATAAAAACCACTGCACTATAAATGTTTCCCAGTACATCCAGGCTCATATTGTTTTCCGTATTTTAAAGATATTTCTGTATTTTGACACAAATTTCATCTGATCACTTGCAGACCAGACATAGCCCTACTCTTAGAGCATTATGGTACAGTAATTGAAATAAAACACATGAAACATTAATGATAAACAGTGAAAATGAAACCAAGAAACGCATGCTTTCAGTTGATGACGATTTGTTGTTTTTTGTATGCTCAATCCTCATTTGTATCCTAAGCAGTCATTCATCGTATGCAATATGCACTATCCACGCACAAACATCTATTCAACGAGCACTTTAATTTGATATTCTTCTTAGGCGACTCAGCTGTGGGAAAGACGTGTTTTCTGAACAAGTATGCAAACAATCAATTCAATCCGCGATTCGCCACTACGGTCGGTGTGGATTTCCAACAGAAACGAGTAATCCGCGAGAGTCGAGATTCCGAGGGACTGTTGGGTCCGAAACAACGATTACACCTACAGTTGTGGGACACAGCCGGGCAAGAACGGTAAACCGCATGTGCTTTTACGGACCGATACGGTTCTTTGTGTGTTTAATGAAAATGCACTTGACTGTAGATTGTCTTTTTAACTTATGGGTACTTGGTATTTTATTATAATTTCTAGCTATCAGTTTAGTTGTTATATTTGAAATTAAAGTCAACATGAGATATAAAATCAGGTTTGTTTTAGCCACAACGTGAATATCAAAACACAAGATTTCGGTGACAACGTTTCGACCTTCTTGGAAGGCCTTTGTCAAGTCACTTTAATCGGTTTCTCAAAAACACAAGCTTTAAGGTGAAAATCGCGGCGTTCAAGGTTGACCCAAAAACGGGGTCAAGTGCGTAAGTTTCCGTGTATGCGTGGGCGTGTATGTTGGATTCGGATTATCATTAGGGCTCTGTGGGATCTGCACCTATTACGTGATCTGTGTTGGTGTGTGAATCTGTGTGTGAAAACAATACACGAGAGGTCAAGTGGTTTGTTGGGGCAATGGAGAGAGCGTCACACCAGGCCACTAACAAATCAGTCCCCTCCGTGCGGTTGACACATTTAGCTTCAGTGTTAATCCACAAAGTTTCGGAGATCATCCTTTCTGTGTGGCTACGAAAACCTTGTCTCAAAATTTTGGGGTTATCGAAGTCTATTGTGTGTCGTTCGCACAAAGCATGAACAGCAATCGCCGAATCTCGTACCAAGAAGTTCGAAACGTTGTCACCGAAATCTTGTGTTTTGGTATTTACGTTGTGGCTAAAACAAACCTGATTCTATTGTTACCATGAGCACAACGCCCAAATTTTTCGAAATGATCCGGAACACCTATGGATTATTAATTGTTCAACATGGGATATTTTTTGAAAGATACCTCCAGGTGTGTGATCGCTGTTTTTATTTCACACACGTCTGAGTTCAGACTGTGTGCCAAACCAATCATGGTACAACAATCTTTATAAAAAGAAAAACGTTCCAAGATTTGCATGTGAGCCGAATACTGCCAGGTTGCCTAGGCCAAGGCAAGTGAATTTTCTTGAGGAATCTACAACTGGAGCCTTCGGCTAATCAAAGACTGACCCGCAAGACAGTTGGACGGTGTGTGAAAACCGCAATCCATGGGGGGCCGGCATCCAGTTCATCGGATCATGGGACCATGGGATCAAACGTCCAAGGTGTCCTATACACCTTGATTCTCAATTGAACCGGTGATCACTGCCACAACCAAGATGTGTGTGAGTGTGGTTCCTACGCCTCGTTTTGGTAGGTTTTGAATCAGGGTTTTTGGCCCGTAGTCCACCAACCCGGTTATAGCTCCGGGTATCGGCTTTTCGTCCTATCACTTTGTGGGGAAATCACCTCCGCCACGAGAAGGCAGTGAGTTTAACTTCCTCAGAGAGGCTATTTGAGACGCTTGGTCATATGGGAGTATTACTCGAGGGAAGGGTGACTAGTAGCAACCGTAGACACCCACCCTCGACTATACTGAGGATTTCGGAGGCAATGATAAGTGTTACTAAGTTATTGCTCTGCGATGAATTTTGATGTTACCTAGCCTGACAAGGAAAAGTCTGCAAACGACACTTCCAGCTCAGAGAACACATCAACACAAACAACAGTCTATGTTCCGTGAAACACTATGCCCGCATAATTGGAAGGTAGGACGACGCTTGGCGGGGACTTCGAAATTGGCCGCGCGGTCCGTTACATCGTCGGACTCGGAACTATACAATCACTCTTCACTGGATTTATCTGGGATACACGTCCTTCGTTGCCATAGAAACGTTGTGTGATTATGATCATCTTAAATTCCATGAAATACTCTGCCGTTTTCATGAAGCAACTTTTGACTTCTGGCCACCGGATTTTACCTTCTTTTGGCAAATCGGTTCGTAACAGGGAGAGAAGAATTTACGGAAATCTCAAAACATTTCCCAGAAAACACAGAGCTGGATGGTAGGTCGCACTACGCAAACGATCAGTTTCAGACATCTGCATTCCAGCAGTCATCAGTGATGTGCGCTCCCTGCTTGGCAACATGGCAGAANCTAACAAGGAGACGTGAATATTCGAAGGTTGGAGTCGCAATGCTTCAGGAAACCTGGCTCCACAACGAAATTGATGATAACGTGGCCCAAATTGACAATTTTTCCATCTGCCGAGTTGACCGACCCGTTCCGGTTCACAAACAAGGCGGTGGTGTTATCACATACATAAATGACAATTGGTGCAAATCAGACAAACGAGTCTTTATCTATTCTACCATTTTTGTTAGTACTTCACCGTACAAATGCAAACCTAAACACCTCAGTAACTAGCGAGACACAATTTTTGGTAACATTTACATTTTTCCTTCTTGTTCCACTGGTCATTTTAACGAGTTCACAGATATTTTCTCCGCTGCTTTACTAAATTACGTAGACTCCTCCCTNAAAACGTTGTTAGCTTTCCGACCAGACTCCAGGCTTGTCTTGATTTGTGTTTCATTAACGACCTGAATTTATTTGCGTTGTCGTTCCCTATTGGCACCGCTGATCATGCAACACTGAAATTGTCTCCCACGATCTACGGTAGATCCAATCACCAGTTTTACACACGGCATCGTGATCGTCGTCTTCGTCGGCGTCAATGCCAACCCGAAAATCTTGCTAGACTAAAAGATATATTAGATCAGACAGATTTCTCTTTATTTGTACACAATGACCCCTCTATATTTTGTGATACCTGACTGAATACTTGAAGTGTTTTTATGACACGTGCTGCCCGTGGGAAACTTTATACACAAGGGCAGACCGTTTTTTGTCCCCCACACTTAAACGATTGCGTCGGAAGAAAGAACAAGCTTTCAAGGCGAAAAAGTATTCTTTGGTAAGAGACCACTCGAAAGCAATCAAGGCTGAACAGTGGAGAATAAACACCGATTATGTGCATGCACTGCTGGCAAACAGAAATTGTCGGGATACATGGAAAATGATGTTTGAGTTCTGCGGCCCCAAAGCGAAGGGGAGTCTTCCACCTGCCAATGTGGACGATATCAATCGCCAATTCAGCAATGCTGAAACCGACACCCCTATTCCATTCACAGCAGTTGCCCCCGCTCCTAATAATGTTAACTTAAGTACTGATCAAAATGAAGCATTCAAACCTTCATCAACCTAAAGTATAATAAAGCATGCGGTCCTGATGGACTGCCACCTGTTGTGCTCAAAGAATGTGCAGCCTCACTTTCCCCGGTTTTCACAAAACCTACTCAACCTGTATTTTACTAAACACTGCATTCCGGACTGCTGAAGAGTTCTTCTATCATACCAATACGGGATCCTCCAAATTTCGCCGGATTGCTTGCAATTCTGTGGGTTTGAAAGTCATGGAAAAGATTATACTACAAAAGACGCTGTCACAGCTGAATGCACCTGATCACAATCAATTTGCCTACCGCAGTTCTAGGTCAACCATTGATGCGTTGGCATCACCCATTCATTATATCTCTTCCTCCTTGGGCAGGAAATGTAAAGCTGTTCGGGTATGTTTCTTTGATTATAGTGATGCCTTTAATTGTGTTGATAGGTCCAAACGTCTTCACACTCTTTCTGAGAAAGGCATTCAGCCGGAGCTTACCAATCTGTTAAGTAATTATTTCACCCATCGATCACAGTTCAACAAATATAGTGCATGGTTAATGGTTGTTCAAACTGAAAACTGAACTGAAATATAGGGGCCGTAACTCTTCACTTTTACCCTCCACTCAAGGAGTTATTCAAGGCCCTTTAACCTCTCCCTTCTTATTCACAACCTATATTTCTTCAATACCTGCTTTCAATGACTATCTGCTCATCAAGTATGCCGATGATGTGCATGACATGATGTTTTCGAATTCCTCCGTGTACCCCAAACTTATGCAGAATATTTCACTGCTCACCGACTGGTCTTCACAACACAATCTTAGAATGAATCCTTCCAAGTGTAATGATGTTTTATTTTCTTTACTGAAGGGTGATCAATATATTGAGGTGATGAACTCTTGTCAGCATGTCATTATCAATGGTGAAGAAGTTTCTAGAGCATGCTCCGTCAAATATCTTGGGGTCACCATTTCCCGCAACCTTTCTTGGTCTCCTCATGTCGTCGAGACATTTCACAAGGTCAGAAAACTCACCTCTTACATTATTCGTTTGAAGATGCTATCTACCCCAACTCACTTAATGAAGCATTTTTGTTTTATTCTGTATCCTTCCCCACTGGCTTTATGCATCCCCTGTTATTTTTCCGGGTTTTTTAATCAAAGTCTTCAAACTCATACGCACATCCATCAAACACGTATGTCGATACAGCGGCATATCCCTTGAGTATACGCAGTTTATTATTTCACAGCACCTTAGGGCATGCCAGAAACTTTCTACCAGAATACTACTTGACCCATCTCACCCACTGTACACTCACCTTAGCCGATGTACCTCCACATCTAGCACTCGTTCCATGTATAAACATATAGCAGCACGCACCACTACATACAAGCCTTCTATAATACCGTACCTGGCACGGTTTCTTACCAACGCTGATCTTGTCATTGGGACTCGTAGACAAAATCTTTCCTAATTGGCTTTTTGTATATGTAACGTATCATCATACGTTTTGTTACCATGTAATTTCAAAGAACAGTGATTGTGTAGTAGAGCTGACTTTTTATTCTCTATGGAGAGAATTAAAGCCACTTCCTGACTTGACTTGGCTTGAATATGGGGTTGTCCATTCCCGTAACAACAGAAAGATTCCTTCTTTTTCTGTCCTCAGTTTCGCGCTGTCAATTGTTTTTTTTGCAGATTAAGGTAACGACGAAACGTCATGCTTTCCGCATCGTAGAATTTTGCAAATCAAAGTTGGTCAAGACGATAGCTGTGCTGTTGGGATCGAGTTCTTTACAGTAAAAACAACGAGGTTTCCGTTAGAGCGTGAGACTGCAATATTTTGTAGCACCAAAGTATTTTACGAAGCATTTAAAACGATTCAAATGAATATCT